GTTTGCTGCTTCTCCTTTTACTGTACAGGCAAATGTTGTTGGAGGGGCAAGACCTGTATTTGTTAACTGCAGCAAAGTAAAATCAGGTCTTCTCTCCTGCCTGGCAGGACTGTGTAAATTTCAAGACTAGAGATGTGCACAATGAAAAATGTTGTTTTGTTTAATTTTGGATTCATTTATTAAGGCAATCATTTTGTTTTGTCATATTCATAGCTACATAGTTAATCTGGTTGAAAAAAGACACAAGTCCATCCAGTTCAACCAGCAGAAAAAAAAATACACAGACACAAATAGAAAACCTCCATATATACTATCCCTTACCCACAGTTGATCCAGAGGAAGGCAAAAAAAAACAATAAAGCAAGATACAATTTGCTCCAGCAGGGAAAAAAATTCCTCCTGATCCCCCAAGAGGCAATTGGATATTCCCTGGATCAACTTTACCTATAAATATTAGTATCCAGTTATATTATGTGCATTTAGGTAATAATCCAGGCCTTTTTTAAAACAATCTTCTGTGCTGGCCAGAACCAGCTCTTGAGGGAGTCTATTCCACATTTTCACAGCTCTTACTGTGAAGAAGCGTTTCCATATTTGGAGAGTAAATCATTTTTCCTCCAGATGTAAAGAGTGCCCCCTTGTCCTCTGTGATGATCCTTAAGGTGATTAACTCTACACCAAGTTCACTATATGGACCACTTAGGTATTTATACATGTTAATCATATCCCTCTTCTTAAGAGATAATCAATTCAGTTCCTCTAATCTTTCCTCACAGCTGAGCTCCTCCAGGCCTCTTATCAGTTTGGCTGCCCTTCTCTGTACTTTCTCCAGTTCCCCAATTTTCTTTTTGTGAACTGGTGCCCAAAACTGAACTGCATATTCCAGATGAGGTCTTACTAATGATTTGTAGAGGGGCAAAATTATATTTCTCTCTCTCTCTCTGCAGTCTGGACGGGGGGTACAGTGGCAGACGGGGCATTGTCCTGCGTGAGTGCATTTTCTGCTGGAGTGCAAAACAGCAGTTGAACACAGCAGTTTATCTAAAGCAGGATAATTAAAGCAGCAAGAAGATACAACAAAGAAGTCTACTACACTCTGAATGGACTGCCAGCAAACACCCTGGGAAACATCTACAAATCTGATTACCACTCCATCTACCTTTTAAAATGCCCCTTCTACTCCTCCTTTCATATTACTATCCTTTGTTCTCAAAATCTCACTTCTTTTCCCCTCTGATCCACCCCAAAGCTTATACATATCACCCTCACTTCTACCATCTCCCTACCAGGGGCGGACTGACAACTCATGGGGCCCCCGGGCAATAGGGGATCATGGGGCCCCTGTGTCCTTGCCCAAACTCAAAAAAGCCTATGAAAAAAGTACCAGGGGCATCTCATGGGGCCCCCCCTACTGACCCCCGGCCCTCGGGCAGTGCCCAAGTTTCCAAATGGTCAGTCTGCCCCTGCTCCCTACTAATGCTCTCATCATCTACTGCTGATACTTTACTCACCTGCTGACCCACACACCAGGACAGGAAGGCATGTGCACTCATATACATCCCATGTCCATCTTACTTTCCTTACCCTCCTTCTTCTCCTAACCTCTGGGGATATCTCCCCGAACACTAGTCTTTCAGGATCTCACCTCCACACCAGGCACCATCCTTCCTCCAGGAATAGCCGCAATCCAATCAATTTAATTTCAATCACCAGGCTCCTAAAACCACCCTCCCTTTTTCATGTGCACTCTGGAATACCCACTCTGTCTGTAATAAGCTCACCTCTGTCCATGACCTTTTTGCCTCCCACTCCCTCAACCTACTAGCAATTACAGAAACCTGGCTTCAAGCATCAGATTCTGGTTCTCCCGCAGCACTTTCCTATGGAGGCCTTTTCTGGACTCACTCACCCAGACCCAGTGGTCAGAAAGGAGGTGGAGTTGGTTTGCTACTATCCTCACTGAGCACATTTCAAATCCTCCCTGCTCTTCTCTCTCTATCTTTCTTTCGAGACTCACTACATTTGGCTGTTTTCTCCCATTTCAATGAGAATTGAAGTGATCTATCGGCCTCCTGGACCGGTGTCATGCCTTTTTGATGACTTCTCTGCCCTACTTTCTCTCCTCTGAAATACCCACTATCATTCTTGGAAATTTTTAACATCTTCATTAATGTGAACAACCCAGCTACATCCCAACTCTTCAACCTAACCTCATCTTTTGTCTTAACACAATGGACACAGTCCTCCACTCACTCTGATAATAATACATTAAACCTTGTTTTCTCCCATCTTTGCACTCCCTACAACCTCACAAACACCCCCTTTCCTCTCTCTGATCACAATCTCAACACCTTCACAACTTAAACCCTTTTCTTTTCCACTCTGCAACTGACCCCCTCTATGACAGAATATCTCCCCTGTCCTGCCCTGACCTGGCCACTGCTCTCTACAACAGTTTGCTTTCCTCCACACTAGACTCACTTGTTCCTCTAACTATATGAAGTATCAGGCCCCAAACATTACAACTGTGGCAGACTGATCCCAGCAAGCATTCACCCTATATAAATCTGCTTTCTTAACATACAATTCCTCCCTCCATGCTGTCAAACAAGCCTACTTTGTCACTCTTATTAACACCTTCCCGCCCGACCTATGTAGTAGATTAACGGCCGGGCGGGACACTCATTGTGACTGGGCGTCATATGACATCCTTTCAAAATGAGCAGCTCATGCTGCCGAGGGGCTGCCCACGGGACACAGCCGATGACATATTACTACACAGGCCCATTTCTAATGTCATGTGACCACTGTGACCAATCACAGCAGATCACATGTCAATTGTATACAATGGATGGCTTCCTGTCATGCCATCCATTGTGTACAATTATGTTGTTATCTGTGACTGGTCAAGGAAGTCACATGATACAGACAGGGTCAGTCACAGTCCATCTGTATCATGTGATCAGCTTTGCCCAATCACAGCTAATCACATCAAAAGACTGAATGAATCAGTTTCATTCAGTAACAATGATTGCAAATATCAATGAAATACATTGGTATTAGCAATCATAATGTGTTAAAAAACAAATCCTGATCACTTGCCCAGAGTAGTTCAATGTTACTATTGTAACATTGTATTGCTTTGGTCACAGTGTGCTGAAAAATAAAATAGTAAAAAAAATAAAAAACTTTAATAAAAAAAATAATAGAAACATTTGAAAAAAAAATACAAATTCAATTATTATTACCGTATTTTCCGGCGTATAAGATGACTGGGCGTATAAGACGACCCCCCTACTTTTACTGTTAAAATGTAGTGTTTGGGCTATACTCGCCGTATAAGACTACCCCTCTTCCAATGCACACCAGTGGGAAGAATCGTGCCCCATCATTAGTATCAGTGGGAGGAATAGTGCCCAGTCATTGGTGTCAGTGGCAGGAATAGCACCCCATCATTGGTGTCAGTGGGAGGAATAGCACCCCATCATTGGTGTCAGTGGGAGGAATAGTGTCCCATCATTGGTGTCAGTGGGAGGAATAGCACCCCATCATTGGTGTCAGTGGGAGGAATAGCACCCCATCATTGGCGTCAGTGGGAGGAATAGTGCCCCATCATTGGTGTCAGTGTGAGGAATCGTGCCCCATCATTGGTGTCAGTGGGAGGAATAGCACCCCATCATTGGTGTCAGTGGGAGGAATAGCACCCCATCATTGGTGTCAGTGGGAGGAATAGTGTCCCATCATTGGTGTCAGTGGGAGGAATAGTGCCCCATCATTGGTGTCAGTGTGAGGAATCGTGCCCCATCATTGGTGTCAGTGGGAGGAATAGCACCCCATCATTGGTGTCAGTGGGAGGAATAGCACCCCATCATTGGCGTCAGTGGGAGGAATAGTGCCCCATCATTGGTGTCAGTGTGAGGAATCGTGCCCCATCATTGGTGTCAGTGGGAGGAATAGTGTCCCATCATTGGTGTCAGTGGGGGGGGGAATAGTGACCCATCGTTGGTGTCAGTGGGGGGGAGGAAAAGTGCCCCATCGTCGGTGTCAGTGGGAGGAATAATGCCCCATCATTGGTATCAGTGACACCAATGATGGGGCACTATTCCTCCCACTGACACTTGCTGACCCCTGTTCAGTATGGTGCTACTGCAGCAAGCATATATGGTTGCAGCAGCACCTGTGCACGGCACACTTACCTTCACTTGATTTTCGCGGGGCCGCTCGGCTCCGCCTCCTCCCCGGTGATTGGCCGCCTGTGTGCCTTTCCTGAGCTACAGTTCTGGCGGCCAATCACCGGTGAGGAGGCGGAGCCGAGCAGCCGCACGAATATCCAGTGGCCGAACTGAAGGAAGGAGCAGCTGCGCTTCCTGGACCGGATCGTCGTGGGACCGGAGCCAGGTAAGAAACAGAAGCCCCTGCCCACCCCTGTACTTAGTTTCACTTCTGTTTGGAAGGGGGGGGCGGCGGCGGCACCGCCCCCCTAAAAAGTGTCAGCATGCCGTATACTGGCGTATAAGACGACCCCCGGCTTTTGAGAAGATTTTCAAGGGTCAAAAAGTCGTCTTATACGCCGGAAAATACGGTATTATTTTCACCAAAGAAATGTAGCAGAATACATTTTGACCTAAATTTATAAAGAAATGTTATTTATTTGCAACATTTTATAACAGAAACAAAGAAAAGTGTGTTTTTTTCAAAGGTTTCAGGTGTTTTTTGTTTTATTTAGCAAAAAATAAAAAACTTAGTGGTGATTAACTAGCTGCCGACCGCAGATAGCCGAATGACGGCTACACTGCGGTCGGCCAGTTCTGAGTGGACGTCATATGACGTCCTCCCAGAACGCGCTCTCCTGCGCGCCCCAGGGGGCACGCACCCGGCGATCTCCGTGATCGCTGTGTCCTACGGACACAGATGATCACGTGATGTGGTAAAAGGCCAATCACAGCGGCCTTTTACCACGTGATCAGCGGTGTCCAATGACACGCTGATCAGAGGGAAATGCAAGTGCCGATTCTCGGCTGCACTTTCCTCACGCTGTCAGATCGTGCGGAAAGTACTGCCGAGGACCGGCAGTTGTCAGAGCGGGGATCGGCACTGATCATCAGGGCACTGATGATCAGTGCCCTGATGATCGGTGCCCAGCAGTGCCACCCGCAAGTTCCGCCCACCTGTGCCCAGCAGTGCGCCCACTAGCTCCGCCCACCTGTGCCCAGATCACCCACCTGTGCCCAGCAGTGCACCCACCTGTGCCCAGCAGTGCACCCACCTGTGCCACTCTGCAGTGCCACCTACCTGTGCCCAGAAATGCCACCTACCTGTGCCCAGCAGTGCCACCCACCTGTGCCCACCCACCTGTGCCCACCAGTGCCACCCACCTGTGCCCACCCACCAGTGCTGCCCACCAGTGCCACCCAGCAGTGCTGCCAGTCAGTGCCGCCAGTCAGTGCCCAGCAGTGATGCCAGTCAGTGCCATCTATCAGTAATCATCATCAGTGTCACCTATCAGTGCCCCCTATCAGTGCTGTATATTAGTGCCGCCTATCCGTGACACCTCATTAGTGCTGTCTATCAGTGCCGCCTATCCGTGCCACCTCATTAGTACTGCCTATCAGTGCCCTTTAGTGCTGCTTATCAGTGCCCATCAGTGCCGCCTATCAGTGCCCATCAGTGCTGCCTCATCAACGCACATCAGTGAAGGAGAAAAAATACCTGTTTGAAAAATTTTATAATAGAAACAAAGAAACTTTTTTTTTTTTTTCAAATTTTTTGCAATTTTTATTTATAGCACAAAAAGTAAAGCGCCCAGTGGCGATTAAATACCACCAAAAGAATGCTCTATTTGTGAGAAAAAAATAATCAAAATTTCATATGGGTACAATGTTGCATGACCGCGCAATTGTCAATCAAAGTGCGGCAGCGCTGAAAGCTGAAAATTGGCCTGGTAAATAAGGGGGTATAAGTGCCTGGTAGGCAAGTGGTTAAATACCACCAAAAGAAAGCTCTATTTGTGTGAAAAAAATTATAAAAATTTCATATGGGTACAATGTTGCAGGGTTGCGCAATTATCATTCAAAATGAAACAGCGCTGAAAGCTGAAAATTGTCCTGGGCAGGAAGGGAGTAAAAGTGCCCAGTATTGAAGTCATTAATACCGTATCATCCAGTCCTCATTGTCTCTTCTCTACTTTTAACTCTCTACTTTCTTCACCTCCACCTAGTAACTCACTGCTTATGATATTGCAAATAATTTCAAAAACAAGATTGATGCAATTCATAGGGGCATCTCCACTACACAGACATCTATTCCACTTAGCATAACTTATACTAAATCTCCCTCAACACTTTCCTCTTTTGACCTTGCTACTACTGAAGAGGTCACTAAAGTTTTCTCAGAAGCCCATCTCACCACATGGCCCCCTGGTCCCCTCTCAACTACTACGGTCACCCTCTTCTTCTGTCTTATGCTCCCTCACTCACATCTTCAATCTCTCCCTCTCTAATGGTGCCTTCTCTACCCCTCTAAAGCATGCACAGATCACTCCCATACTTAAAAAGCCCTTGATTTTCCGGTTCCAGTGCCGTATGGAGAGGAGGTGAGCCACCCCTGCTCCTGCCACCCTCCTCAGTTAATGCAGTACAAGGCCTCTATAGATCAAGGGCTGACCCCCCTTCCTAACCACAGCTTAGGGGGAGCTCATGGACTGCTTTGTAGGGTGGTCCCACGCTCGTTCCTCTTCTGTCCCCCACTTGTCACAGGGGGATACAATGGCCGCTGCAGCCAAGATGGCAGCTGCTCCCAACTCACAGGCTGACACAAAGGATCAGCCGAATTCACTGCAGCCACAGCCACCTGCTTCTCAGCCTCCAGACCCTGCCTCACCAGCGGGCATTGCCCATGTAGTCATGGCTCTCCTAACACCTACTCACACAGCAGCTGTTGATAGTGCTGTTCTTAACCACTTCCCGACCGGCCGTTGTATATAAACGGCCGGACGGTGGCACTGCAGGGTCGGGTGGCCGTCTATAAACGGCCTCCCCGCACCCTGCTTGTGCGCGCTCCCTGGGAGCGCGCAGCACCGCGATCCGGTGCCCGCTGTGTCCTCCGGACACAGTGAAACACCGATCGTCGGACGGGACCTCTGTACGAGGTCCCGATCATGTGATCACTGATTGGCCAATCAGTGATCACATGCAAAGTAGTAAGCAAGATGTCACTTCTGACATCATTGCTTACTATGTGTGAAATCTGTGAATGATCACACAGAGGTCACATGGTACAAGGCTATTCACAAAAGCCTTGTACCATGTGACAAGCTGTGACCAATCACAGCTCACTCTGTATTTCTCAATGAGTGCAGGAATGCACACAGAGAGAAAGAGAAATGATTGCTTTTACATCCCATATGGGTGTAAAAGCAATCAGTGTAAAAAAAAAAAAAAAAAAAATCTTTATCACCCCTCACAAGTAGTACAGTGTCACCATGGTGACACTGTACTGCTAGGGTGACAGTATGTAAAAAAAAAAATAAAAACAAAAATAATAATATAAAAAAAATAAAATAAAAATGTAAAAAAAAAATGTTAAAAATTATAATTTTTGCTTATAAACTAATTTGGATTTTTTTTTTTTTTTTTTACTAAAAAGATAACGGAATAAATTTTGGCTAAGATTTATGATGAAATATTATTTATTTGCAAAATTTTATTAAAAAAAACACTTTTTTAAAAAATTTTTGGACATTTCATTTACATAGCAAAAAAAATACAAATCCCAGTGGTGAATAAATACCACCAAAATAAAGCTTTATCTATCTAAAAAAAATGGTAAAAAATTCATTTGGGTACAGTGTTGCATGACCGCGCAATTGTCATTCAAAGTGTGATAGCGCTAAAAGCTGAAAATTGCCCTGGTCAGGAAGGGGTAAAAGTGTCCGGTCTGGAAGTGGTTAAAGGGCTAGAGCAGCTTCACAAAGATCTACATGTCCAGGCTCAGCGCATTACCCATATGAAAGATCTCCTCCATCGAAGACAACTCATTTTCTCTTTCTGCCGCAGTAGCCAGACTCACTACGGTCCAAAGAGATCTTCAGGATAAGGTAGACGATTTTGAAAATTACTCACAGCTTAACAATCTGCGCATCATAGGCCTGCATGAGATGTATTCTCTCCCTCCATGCTGACTAACGCATTCTGGAGCAATTATGCCTGTGGTATCCTTGTGCGGTTGAAAGGGCCCACCGTATTGGCATGGCATCTGATTCCCACCCTAAACCTAGACCTGTGATTGTAGGCTATCTGTACTAATCTGAACTATGCTAATATATAGGGCTTCCTTCATAAATTGTGACGCGCACATGCTTTATCTGTAGATGAGCACCAACTGCTCTTGTTCACGGACTACTTGATGGAGGTTATGCGCCAATGCAAGGCCTTTTCTGAAATTTGATCCACTCTGTATCACAAGCAGGTTATATTCACTGTGGCATATCCTGCTGTCCTCCATTTTCAACCAGCAGACGGAGAAAGGTTATCTTTCACCTTGCCGTCAGAAATGGAACACTATCTCAATAGCATTCCTGAAGCATCCATGGATCAAAGTTCTTCTTCTTCACTGTATTCCTCCTCCCCCCAAGGGGAAACTCTGTGCCTTTCCAGAACCAGCTGAGCCCTCAAAAACCACCTCATAAATGGGTCCGCTTTGGTTAGGCTGAAGACCTCTATGTTACCCGCTGACCTGCCTCATCGGATTCTAAAGTAATGGTTGCCCTTGGTTTTATATATTCTCTCAGGGAATATTATACTTTGTCCTACAGTGGCTAATGACTGGTCCTTGTTTTTTCTTTTTTGCTACATGCCTCCCCTGTGGCGAATCGCCATGCACATCTATCTCCTTGAATAGGCACAGAGGATTTTCAGGTTTTCTTCCCCCTTTGCCCCTCCTCTTCCCTGCCCTACCCCCTTCCCTATCCCCCCCCCCCCCCCATTTACGTTGCATTCTAGTATGGTAGTAGAGTGTCTAGTGCAAAAGCCTTACTAGGTTGCTCTGTGTGGAAAAAAGTGAAGTTCCTGGTTTACCCGGGGAGACTCTCCCCATTCATTAACAGTTCAGCTTGTACTGTTTTGCCTTGTTGTCTTTCACTGTTGCATTTCCCTAGGTCCTGTTTATTGCTGCTCTGCTCAACCTGGACTCATTGGGGTGATGACTGACGTGGTTCTGCCCTATCGTGGGCCTTATCTTAATTTCATACTGCGTCAGGCATGGCTCCACCTGATGACAGGGATCACCTGAAGGTAATCTCATTGAATGTTATGGGGCTAGACTCACCGAACAAGCGCATGCAAGTCTTGCGCAATTTAAAGTGTTTGGAGCAAATGTGGCTCTTTTGCAGGAGACACATCTCTCTGGAAGTGATCTTTCTCATCTTTCAAGACTTTGGGTGGGTCAGGTATATGGTTCTCTGGCCATGGGTTGAAAGGCAGGGGTAGCTATACTATTTCATAAAAATTTACGATACACTGTTCGCTTTGCTAATTCTTATTCTGAGAGTCGCAAACTTACTGTCCATATTACTATTGCTGGGGCACTTGTTTGGCCCTTTTCTTGTCTGTTTTTAACCTCCTTAACATTTTTTGCCTCTTCAATGCTCAGGAACAACCAAGACAGGTGTTTATTCACCATCCTATAACAGTTGGTCACTATACTTTTTTCATCTGGACCGGTATGGGTTTTTTTTTGTTTTTGGATTATATATATAGCTAAGCAATGGGTCTTTTTGTGCTTTTGTCCAATATATAATATTTTTTTTTTAGATTTCCTTCCCTCTCTCAGGTTTTATCTGTAATATATAGTATAAAAACTTTTTGACCAATTTTGGGCAGTAGGGGTGTAGTTGTTTCTTTTTCAGAGATGGGAGAGGCTTAGATTTCTTAGAAAGAAAAAAGGAAAGGAAGTGAAAAATCTCTAATTATTGATTATTTTATAGACCCTTAGAACAACGGCTTGGTGTTTGCTACTCAATTTGATCTGAGGTACTCTCGGACTGGTGGCTTCCTCCCCGGTGCTCAGAAAATCTCCCTTTGTATATCCAATCACTATTGATCTTCATGTATATTAGGTGCTGCTATTGAACAGAGTGCTATCATTGACTGGTAATTTGCTGCCTCTGTTTTCATTTATGTCTATTTTTTTGTATAATTTTGTGTACATTGTTAAGCTTTATCTATATTTTCATTGTTAATTGGTTGTATATTTTTGATTCCACTGTAGGCATTGTTGCTTAGTTTTTCCATTTTCCCTGAAGACGTGGGTCACATTCCACAAAACGCGTCTGAGCTTTTGATTGATTATCCAGTTTTGGATTCAATTTTATGGAAAGCATTTTTGGGTTTCTTTTATTGTTGTTGACTCATTATGTATCTGCCTACATTGGCGTAATGTCATAATAAAATAT